TCAGGACCAATAATATTGCTGATTCTTTGGATTTTATTAAGACTCTCTAAATATATAGCAGAAGCAATGGACCATATGTGGTAGCAATATTCAAAGCAATATTTAAAGCATGGGCGAATAGTAGACTTATAAATTTGTAAAATAAATTCTGTCGAGAAAAATTGTCTAGCCCGACACAGTAAACCAACTTTCTTAGCAGCCGACCAATAATAGATTCAGTGTAACCTTTCCACTTTTCATGTCAGTGGAAAATGTTAGCCTGAGAAGGCGCAATGCATCACTTTCATGGTGGATAGCATCAGCCATGCTGGTGGAAGGCAGAAAGAGCTCTCTCAGAAAAGTGCAGCTCCTTAGAAGCACCATTACTCTCATTAACTAGTGACCTTGAGCCAAATAATAACATTTTATTGCAATAATTCAAAGAGCTGAAACTGGTATAAATTTAACAATGAAGATGGCACAATTTGAAATATGATGGTTAATGTTTACATTTTGCGTTTATGCTTTATTAACATAATATCTGACTGAATTCATTTTTACGTGTGGATTGGAAGTTTATCCTATGAGCACAGACAAAGATAAGAGTATCTCATCATTAAATGGAAATTGATATCTTCCTTATCAACATAATCTCTCTTTCTATTTTTTTAAAACAAGCTTAATGCATTTCGTAGCTGAATGCAGGGTGTTTGTAGTGGATGTTTCAGATTACTCTAATATCTTTATCATACAAGTAGAGTTTTCCTAGTAGTTCAAATATGTCTTTGTGTCATACCTAATCAAATGCTTCAGCGTAATTTTATGAAACAATTATAGGACTTTTTGCTCGCTTCGATAAGATTTTTATCATGAAGATAGCATTTCTTGTTCTCAGTCAGTTAAGTGCCATACGTGACACATGCTTGGGCGATCACGTCTTTTTCGATCCATGACTAACTAGGCTGTTCCCACAGTATGTTACCGTTTCGGAATCGAAATTCCATACTGAGACCATAGACGTCTATCCAGTTTTCCAAATACATTATTGATCTTCTTGATTCGAACGGAGATTTCATCATTAAATTTCAACATATATCCATATATACATACATGGTGGTTGCTAAATCGCGTCCGACTATGGCCATTACTTTGTATCTTTTTGGAGAAAATCTACTGATGTGCTGAACGAATGTGGCTCTTTAGTCCAGAAAGGGACCTACATACTCTGGCACAAACAGGACACTTAAGAGATCCAACAGCGAGTGGTAGATTATGATGCAATTTAAAATGTCGCATGAAACCGCTTCTAGACCCGCATGTCTTACCACAAATATCACATTTCATTTGCTGGCCGTCTATGGATTTATAGTCAATTGCCACCTTCCGCTGGTGCGCTCCCAAGTGACTCCTTAGGCCAGCCATTGACAAACACACTCTACCAAAATTTATACATATTAGATCGAGCTGCCTACAGGTGTTTTCAAGTTCACCAGGGACATATTTATGCACATTTCGTTTTAAGCTTTGCGTGCCTCCTCTATTCATCTTCAAAGTGACGATTTCCACTACTAGCAACCTCATTCCAAACATTGGGATCAGATGCACATTCTTCCCAGTGCTCACAAGTAACGTTACATTTCCTCAGCGCATCCTTGATGCAGTCCTTAAAGCGCATCATAAGTTTGACGGCATTTTTCTTCTCTGTTCGCAGCTCACCATAAAACAATTGTTTTGGAATGCGGCATTTTTCTATTCTGATTAGGTAACCTGCCCGTATACATACATACCAATTGATAGACAATATGGGTATATTTTCATTTTCTGGCGAATGAATAAATTCCTCATTTTTATCTCTGTGAATGAATGGGAAAAACTGTATACCAGTTCGAGCGGAACCTACGATCAATACCAATTCGTTCCATTTCATAACGTCTCACAGGTGAATGACAGTGATCCTCTTTTTCTCATTTCAAAAACTCAAACTTCTCCAGCAGGCAGATTGTATTAGATTAAATGGTATAAGCAGCAAAGTGTAATAAAAGAATGAGCCAGGTGGAAGAAGTGGTATTCAGTCTTATTATAAGACGATTTGGTTGGAATAATAATTTTTTTCTTGAGTGATTTCCAAACAACTCAAGAGAAATGTCATTGTGTTTCACATCACTTCTAAAATCATTAAAACGAAGCTTAACATCAATCGTTTCAGTTGAAATTTGAACTCAAAAAGCAGTTTCCGTTTTCGAATAAGAATTTTTCTTCTTATTGAGTGGTTTCCAAACAAGGCTAGTGAAGTCATTGAGATTCCTGTCACTTCTAAAATCATTAATCCCGTGCTTAACATGAATCTTTTCAGTTGGATTTTGAAATCTGACCGCTGTTTCTGTTTACCAATAAGAATTTTTCCTTCTTGAGTGATTTCCAAACATGGCTAGAGAAGACATTGTGATTCATGTCACTTCTAAAGCCATTAATATAAAGCTTAACATGAATCGTTTTAGATGGAATTTGAAAAGTGACTGCTGTTTCCGTTTTCTAATAAGAATTTCTTTCTTCTTGAATCGTTTCGAAACAAGACTAGGTATGTCAATTTTTTTTTCATATCACTCCTAAAGTCATTAATACGAAGCTTAACCTGAATTGTTTCAGTTGTAATTTGAACTCTGACCGCCGTTTCCATTTTCTTTGTCATTAACTGTTAGCTTAACCTGTACACTTTATTAATTTACATACAATATTGAAACATGTTACAAATGTTTTAATTTAGACAAATGACATCTCAAATAATATCCCAAAATAAGCTGATGAAATAACATTTTCTGTCGTAAAATTTTCCTTATTTCCCGAATGATAACAAAAGCGTTCATAAAATAGACTGTATGTAAATTAACTAAAATTAATTTATCTGTGTCTATTAAAGGAAAATTTTACTTCACATCAGAAAGAAATTGTTGAAATTTCTAACGTACATAAGACGGCTTAGAAAATCTGACACTCGCCAGACAAGTTGGTGGTGATGGCGGCGGTGGTGGTGGTGGTGGTCTTGGGGAAACAAAGACTAACACTCCCTAGCGAACTTGAGTAAATAGTTTCCAGAACAGGGACAAGGAGAGATAACAAAATGAGAAATTTTATTAAGAGCTACAAAGGACAGGAAATAGTGGAGAGCCTTGATCACCAAAATTCTGAAGGGACACAGCACATAGATAAATGAGCTGGTGTAATGGATGGTGGAACAAGGTTTAGGAGAGATAACAAAAAGACAAAATTTATTAAGAGCTACAAAGGACTGGAAATAGTGGAGAGCCTTGATCACCAAATTTCTGTAGGGACACAGCACATAAAAGAATGAGCTGGGGTAAATGGATGGTGGAACAAGGCTTAGGAGAGATAACAAAAAGACAAAATTTATTAAGAGCTACAAAGGACAGGAAATAGTGGAGAGCCTTGATCACCAAATTTCTTAAGGGACACGGCATATAGAAGAATGAGCTGGAGTAAATGGATGGTGGAACAAGGCTTAGGAGAGATAACAAAAAGACAAAATTTATTAAGAGCTACAAAGGACTGGAAATAGTGGAGAGCCTTGATCACTAAAGTTCTGAAGGGACACAGCACATAAAAGAATGAGCTGGAGTAAATGGATGGTGGAACAAGTTTTAGGAGAGATAACAAAATGAGAAAATTTATTAAGAGCTACAAAGGACTGGAAATAGTGGAGAGCCTTGATCACCAAATTTCTGAAGGGATACGGCACATAAAAGAATGAGCTGGTGTAAATGGATGGTGGAACAAGGCTTAGGAGAGATAACAAAAAGACAAAATTTATTAAGAGCTACAAAGGACAGGAAATTGTAGCGTTCCAGGGTCACTAATGTACTGAAGGAAAGCAGCTGAAAAAGATTATTATTTTGGTTCCTTTCCGGTTCGCGACCAGAGACCGAATGTCAGAAATGGCATCATGACATTTTTCCCTGAGCAGTTTTGAATAAAAGAAAATAAAAATTTCACATAATTTAAATAGATAAAGTCTCCATAAGGTGCAGGCTGTACATGTGAGTACAGATATTGTATTTGTTTAATTATTATTATTATTATTATTATTTCTTTGGTTTCTGGTGTATACTCATTTCTTTCCTGCTCCCGACCAGAGTTCCTAAGGTCAGAAATAGTATCATGACATTTCCCATCGAGCAGTTTTGAAAAGCAAACCACATATTTCATATAGACAAAACCTTTCTTAAGGTGTGAGTGTACATGTGAGAACATTTTTTTTTGTATTTCTTTAAGGCATTGGCTATCGGAGATTTCTTCAATGAGTCTATTGGAACCTTTTCCAATCAATCGGAGGGCTCCAATTACAACAGGAATTGTTGATCTTCCTATGTTCCACACTTTTGAGATTTCGATTTTAATGTCCTTGTATTTTGATAGTTTTTAGAGATCTTCAAAGATACATCACAATCTGCAGGGAGAGCCATGTCAATAAAAATCATTTATTATTATTATTATTATTATTATTATTATTATTATTATTATTATCATCTTTTGAATTATTCTTGTCATAAAATATATAAACGAAATATTGTATTGTAAATAATATAAATAAATAAATGACGTAGCTTCTTAGTAGTGAAATCAAACTTGGTTTCATACCTTAAATTTATTTTTTTTATTACTAATTTATTTTGTCCTTTTTGACTGAATGACTGCCACAGTTACAGTCAAAATAATGGTCGAACTAGAAGAATAATGTTATCGTGAAATCTTGTCTGTTGGTTCTGTCTGTCTGTTTGTCTGTCGCACTTACACACACACACATACACTTACACACACACACACTTACACACACACACTTACACACACATACACACAACACATATACACACACAAGCTCTCACGTAGGTACTTATAGTCGCGCCTTTTATTTTATTTACTACTAGTACAGATGACTTTTCCGAAAGCGGGAAACAATCTTGTATTTGTGTTTGTAGATTTTTATTTATTTATTTGCTATCAGATCT